ACGCCAAGACCTGCATACCTGTACCTGTGAAAATCTATGAAAACAAATTATATATATATATTAAATGATTATATATATATATATATTAAAGAGGAAAAAAAGGCCTTTTCTTCTTCTCTAAAGAGCTGCGTTTATTTTTCATCTGCAAATCTGTTGCAAAAAGAAAAAAATGCAGAACACAGGTAGACCTCGACTTACAATGGCTCATTTAGTGACCGTTCAAACTTACAACTGCACTGAAAAAGAGCAACTTAGGACCGTTTTTCACGCTTACGACCGTTGCAGCATCCCCCATGGTCAAGTGATCAAAACTCAGGTGCTTAGAGACTCATATTTATGACGGTCACAGTGTCCCAGGGTTATGTGATCACACAGATGGACTATCTGACAAGCCAAGTCAAAATGGGGGAACCACAGATCCACTAAACAACCGTGCTGCTAAGTTCACAACTGCAGTGACTCACTTAAGGCATGTGGGTGGAAAGGTCGTAAAATGGGGCAAAATTCACTCAACAACTATTTTGTTTAGCAACAGAAATTTGGGCCTCTGTTCCGGTTGTAAGTCAAGGATTACCTGTAAAATTGACTCCCCCCACACTGAATTTACGGTCGCAAAAGGGGATAACGTGACCCCAGGACATTGCAACCATCATAAATATGAGTCAGTGGCCAAGCGTCTGGATTTTTAATCACATGACCGTGGGGAGCCTGCAAAGGTCATTAACTGTGAAAAACGGTCATAAGTCTTTTTTTTTCAGGGATGTCGTAACTTTGAACAGTCACTAAACGAATGGATGTAAGTCCAGGACTTTCCGTATACAATGTCCAGCAGAAAAAAACCATACAGAGAATCTACTTGTCCGTTCAAGTGAGTTTTGCAACTCCAATTTCATGGGTGTCTCCCTACTTTTTTCAAAAAAATGCCAGCCGGGTCTTACCTGCCCGTTCTTGGTGTAAACGGTAATTCGTCACAAAAGCAGGCGATGAACCATTCAAAAGACGGAGGCAGAGAACCTGGCACTGGCGAGTGTTGGATCTTCGCACCAGAAATGTCTGTGGGAAGCGAGAAAGCGGGTCATGTCAGAGCAGTGGTGGCTAACCTTTTGGGGCTCCTGTGCCAAAAATTGTGTGGTCGTGTGCCAGCACCCAGAAGGCAATGCGTACGCCCCCCCTGCCCCCTGCAAATGCTAGCGGGATTCTGCACTGTGCCTCCCAGCTGATTTTCAGCTCATTTGAGGTCTTTTTCAGCCTCTCAGAGGCTCGAGGGAAGCCTCTGCAGCCTTTGGAGGCTGAAAAATAGGCCCGTTTTGACACTTCCGGTATTTTCAGAAATACAGGAAGTGACAAAACGGGCCTGGTTTTCGGCCTACAAAGGCTGCGGAGGCTTCCCTCGAGCCTCTGGGAGGCCAAAAAAGGCCTCAAATGGGCCAAAATTCAGCTGGGAGGCGCGCGCATGCGCAGTGTGGTAAGTCTGACTGCACAAATGGCTCTGCGTGCCACAGGTTCACCATCACGGTGTTAGAGGCAGGGGGTGGGATTCTACCAGTTCAGACTGGTTCTATAGAACCGGTTGTTATAATTGTGTGCAGTTCGGAGAACCGGCAAACCGTGGCCCTGGCTGGCCCCACTCTTCTCCACCCGTCCCTCCCCGACCCGCCCAGTCCTTATCGCGTGACATCGCTGACTGCGTTCTCCCCTGCCCAGTCACTCCTTAAGGTATTTCTTTTATTTTTCTCCCCTCCCGACAATCAGCTGTCCTGACGATCAGCTGTGCCAGGATCCCCCCTTGTTGACTTACTGCTTGCTGCTGTCCATACACGCAAAACTAAATATATAGTCCCCTTATCGTAGCCCTCCGGCATTCTACCCAACAAAAATATTTCTGTTTTCAGATCTATATGTTTGCCAGCAAACCTCCACTCCAACCAACAACTCCAAGACAGACATCTTCTCAAAAGTTCTTTTTATTTTGGATAGTAAACTGGCACATACATCTGGGGAATCCCAAATCTGAAAGTTCTGGGCTTCCCTGTATTAAGTAAAAACTACAAAATCCATGCCCTGCACCCATCCTCGTATCACATGCCCCAATCACTATCCGTCCCAACTTGAGACTTCCCCTCACTTATGTGCAACACAACCTGACCTTGAATTCGAAAAAGAATGTTATTACGTCTAACTACGTACACTCCAAGAAATTCCACCCTCCCACTTTCCCAGGCTCATGGGAGCATCCGATCTCAATATGGCTCCCAAACCTGACAGTGTTGTTTGATCATCTTTTCCAACCATGTTTGTATTTTTCATCCAATATTTTCTCCTCCCAGGTCCGAAGCCCCCGGTCCTCACCCCTGCCGGTTCCCGTTGCAAGATGTGGAGGGCCGTGGCTGAATTGATGCCCAGCTGGAGCCAAACGGGCTGGGTGAGCCTCAGTCGCCCCACGAGGCTGATGTTATGGGGCAGGGACACAGCCCCTTGCCGGGGATTGGCATAGGGCTCAGGATAGTCATAGGCTGGGTTGGAGGTCATCCCGGTCAGGTGATGATGGACGGGTCTTCTTTAAGTCCTCGGGAGAGCTGGAATAGATGAAAGTGTCTTACACTTGAGCAAGAAAAACCAAAAGCGCACATACAGACTGGGTGCAAACTCCATCCCTGGAAGCTTTCAAGAAGAGACCGAACTGCCATCTGTCCAAAATGGCGTAGGGTCTTCCTGCTTGGGCAGGGGGTTGGACTAGATGACCTACAAGGTCCCTTCCAACTCTAATAATCTGTATCTGTAAACCAGGTTTAATAGCAGTGACTGTGAGAGGGTTTTTGGAGTCTTAGTGGACAACCAGCTCAATAGGAGCCAGCAGTGTGCAGCAGCTGCCAAAAAAGCCAATGCAATCCTAAATTGCATTAACAGAGGGATACAATCAAGATCAAGGGAGGTACTAATACCACTCGGTAAAGCTTTAGTAAGGCCACACCTAGAGTCCTGCATCCAGTTTTGGTCACCACACTATAAAAAAAAGATGTTGAGACTGTAGAAAAAGTGCAAAGAGCAACCAGGATGATGAGGGGACTGGAGACTAAAACATTTGAAGAACGGTTGCAGGAACTGGGCCTGGCTAGTCCAGGGAAGAGAAGGACCAGGGGAGACAGGAGAGCATCTTCCAATATTTGAGGGGCGGCCCCAGAGAGGAGGAAGGGGGTCAAGCTATTTTCTAAAGTTCCCAAAGGCCAGACAAGGAATAATGGATGGAAATTGAACAAGGAGAGAGATTCAACCTGGAAATAAGGAGAAACTTTCTGACAGGGAGAACCATCAACCGATGGAACAGAAGTTGCCTTCTAAGTTGTAGGAGTTTCATCCCTGGAGGCTTTCAAGAACAGACTGGATTCCCATCTGTCAGAAAGCGGGTAGGGTCTCCTGCTTGGGTGGGGGGGGGGTGTTGGACTAGATGATCTACAAGGTCCCTTCCAACTCTGTTATTCTGTTTTCCAGGGTCTCCTGCTCGGACGGGAGGTTGGACTAGAAGACCTCCAAGGTCCCTTCCAACTCTTCTGTATTCTGTAAAGGTTAGGTAAAGCCAGCATTAGGGTAACAAGAGCAAAAAAAAAAAGATTTAAATTTCCAGGCTTTTTCCCTCAAGAGAGCCACACTGAAAGGGAAACGGCATTAAGTCCCTTTCCCTAAAATCAGAGCCAAATGCTGGCTTGCTATCTTTGGTGGAGTCACAACCTGTGCGTGTGTGTGTGTGTGTGAGAGAGAGAGAGAGAGAGAGAGAGACAGACAGACAGAGAGAGACAGACAGATAGAGAGAGAGAGGCAGACAGAGAGACAGAGGCAGACAGAGAGAGAAGAGAAAGAGAGAGAAAGGGAGAGAGAGAGAGAGAGAGAGAAAGAGAGAGAGACAGGGAGAAAGGGAGAGAGAAAGACAGAGAAAGAGAGAGAAAGAGACAGAGACAGGCAGACAGAGAGAGAAGAGAAAGAGAGAGAAAGAGAGAGAAAGGGAAAGAGAGAGAAAAAGAGAGAGAGAAAGGGAGAGAGAAAGAGAGAGAAAGAGAAAGAGAGAGAGTAAGAGACAGAGGCAGACAGAGAGAGAAGAGAAAGAGAGGGAAAGGGAGAGAGAGAAAGGGAGAGAGAGAGAGAGAGACAGAGGCAGACAGAGAGGAGAAAGAGAGAGAAAGGGAGAGAGAGAAAGGGAGAGAGAGAGAGAGAGATAGGGAGAGAGGGAGAGAGAGATAGGGAGAGGGGGAAGTTAAGCATTGGCTGAGTGGTACCAACCTTGAGCTGTTGCAAAACACAGCGGGGGCGAGCAGCTGTGAGTCAGAGCCATGGCAGGGGTCCACGTGGAAGTGCAATCTGGAAAAAAGAGAGGGGGGGGTGGAAAAAACCCCAGAAAGAAAATATTTAAAAAGAATTGAAAAAAAAAATCCCCCCCACCCCTCCTGTCTGACCCCAGAGAGAGAAGAAAATCTATTTAGGTTATTTAATCTCCATCTCCCTCCAGAGAATCAAATATGATGGTGGGGGGGAACTGAATGACTGGATCTGGTGGTTTTTTTCCGCCTCTTTGCAAAAATAAATAAATAAATCAAAATAAATTCATTTTGGATTGGAGGCCTTTTTCAGCACAGAGGCTCGCCCACGCTTAGCCGAGGCTCTGGGCATCTTCGCCGAAGGCAGAACTATTTGTGTACGAAACGTTCTCCCTCCTCCCCCGGCGTATGGCAGATATTCGTTTATTTACATTCATTTATTTATTTGGAAGCTGCCTTTATTATTTTTACAAATAACTCAAGGTGGCGAATATATCGGCAAATTTATTTTCCACACGACAACAACCCTGTCAGGTAGACTGGGCTGAGAGACAGCGAGTGGCCCAAATAGTCACTCAGCTGACTTTTACCTGGCTGAGGCGAGACTAGAATTCACCGTCTCCTGGTGATCGGCCCAAAGTCACCCAGTTGGTTTTCGTAGCTAAGGTGAGACTAGAACTCACTGTCGCCTGATGATTGGCCCAAAATCACCCAACCAGCTTTCATGCCTAAGTCAGGACTAGAACTCCCAGTCTCCCAGTTTCTAGCCTGGTATTTCAGCCACTAGACTCAGCTGGCTCTCCAAATGAAATATAGGTAGTCCTCAACTTACGACCACATTTAAGCCCAAAATTTTGGTTGCTAAGCAAGACAGTTGTTAAGTGAGTTTTGCTCCATTTTACAAACTTTCTTACCTTTCTCTTTTTTCCATGAACAGGCTGAGCCCAGGTTGGGGATTCTACCTCCAACCTGGGTTTAATGAGATGTGCACGATCAGACCGAACTAAACCTGGGTTCAAATCCCTCCCAATGTTTCTATTTGAGCTGCCCTCCCAGCCTGGCCTACCTTGCAGGGCTGCAGGGAAGGACAGAAAAGCCAGTTGGTGCTGGAGAATAAAACTGGAAATTAGAAAAACCTAAGAAGACTAGCGAAAAATGGTAAACAGGGGAATAAGAAATTAAATAGGCTAAGAATTGTTATTATAATTCGATATATCATGTGTGGTAGTAGTATGAAGTAAGAATAGAGTAATATGATACGATAGGAATTAGTAGATACAAATTGTGATATTTGTGCCCAGGTGACACACTGTTTAAATAAAAGATGGATTGTTTATATAAAATAAAATAAAAATTTATTTAAAAAGAAGCCAGGAGGTGCAAGGAAGACCTGGGACCAAAACCTACTCTGATCCAGCCCATTCCACCCACCCCTGCATTCCTATCATCCCAGCCAGGTGTGCCCAGGTGAGGGGTGTGGGTGCTGGAAAGAATTTTCCCTCTGACCCCACCTTGAGTGGATTAGCTTAGCTGGCTCAGTGTGTGTGTGTGTGTGTGTGTGTGTGTGTGAGAGAGAGAGAGAGAGAGAGAGAGAGAAAGAGGGGGGAAGAGAAAGGGAGGGAAAAAGGGAGAGAAGGAGAAAGAAAGAGAGAAAGGGAAAGAGAGAGAAAGAGAGAGAGAGAGAAAGAGAAAGGGAGAGAGAGAGAGAAAGAAAGGGAGAGAGAAAGAGAGAGAGAGAGAAAGAAAGAGAAAGGGAGAGAGAGAGAGAAAGAAAGGGAGAGAGAAAGGGAGAGAGAAAGAGAGAGAGAGAAAGGGAGAGAGAAAGAGAAAGAAAGAGAAAGGGAGAAAGGGAGAGAGAGAGAGAGAGAAAGAGAAGGGAGGGTAAGGATATTGCAACCCTGAAGTGTGGGGAGGGAACTTCTTCACGTGCAAAACGCACGTGGGAAAACGTGAATCTAGCTCCACGTTGCTGGGGCGTGGGAAAGGGAAGAGGGCCGAGGCAAAATGCCCCTTCCCCGGCTAAAAAAATGACTTTCCTCCCCCCCCCCCATCCCCGTGGATGCTGACCTCGCTTTCCCCCAGAAGAAGACACCCCCCCCCAAAAAAAACCCCTCTCTGGCATTTGCTGGGATCATCAGCGCAACGTTTGCACCCCCCAACCAAATAAATCAAATCAATAAACCTCCACAAACACGCCCGACCCACAGAAATGCCCTGCTGCTGTGCCCGATGGGGAGGTGTAGTCCTCAAAGGGTCGCGAGGAAAGGGGGAAGGAGGACTGAGAGATCCCAGCAGGGCGGGACCCCCGTGTTGGGGATTAATTCACGCGCGTGGTGGCGGGTCCCGCATTCCGATGCTTTCTCTGCTCGGTTGCAAATCCCCCCCCACACACACCCTTGATGTAGAGAACAGAATAGAACAAGAGTTGGGAGGGACCTCTGAAGGTCTTCTAGTCCAACCCCCTCGCTCAGGCAAGGAAACCTTATACCATTTCAGACAAATGGTTGTATGTGTGTGTGTGTGTGTGTGTAGAGAGTGACGGCTCTGTGTGTGTGTGTGTGTGTAGAGAGTGACGGCGCCGGATAACAGATAATCAGAGTTGGAAGGGACCTTATAGGTCATCTAGTCCACCCACCCACCCCGCCGCCCAAGCGGGAGACCCTACACCATTTCTGACAGGTGGGAGCCCAATCTCTTCTTGAAAGTCTCCAGTGAGCACCCATCGCTCCCTGCCTTCCCAGAGCCCCCCCAACGCCCCTTCTTTCTCCCCTCCCAATTGGAAAGCTGTCCCTAAATCTTAAGCAAACGTCAGAAAAGCCAAGAATTAAAAACACCTCCCAGATCAAGCCAGCTTCTCTCTCCCCTTCCCACCTCCCTTTTTTTTGCAAAAGACCCTTCCCCAAGTTAAAAATGCCCCCCTCCCTGCCACTCCTATGGTCCCAATAATAACCCTTTGCCCAGGTCCCTTTTCTGAAGTCCCAGCTAACTGGATTCAGAAATCTGATTTATAATAACAACAACAACAATAATAATAACAACAACAATAACAATAACAATCATCATCATCATCATCACAAAGTATCGGGACTTACAAATTGAAGTTAAGCGACTTTGGAAAAATAAATTGTTGTTATCCCAATTGTAATGGGGGCCCTTGGAGCAGTATCTAATATCTAATGCTATTTGGAAATCCTGAATTTATCAGACTTGAATACCCTGATTCTACAAAAAACCCCACCCTACTTGGAACAGCCTATATCCTCCTCCGAGGCTACCTGAACAGTTCCTAGGTCCTTGGTTA